CCAAAAGTGAGGTCAACAGATGGCCATTCTTAATAACTCAACTCATATTTAGATTTGTTATACTGGTTTGACATAGCACTACACCGGTATCGATCAGCCGACGTCGATCAGCTTTTCCGGAATAGCTCTTTCCAGAAGTGGAGACGGACATGATATTAGTGATTTCAGCCACAAATTTATAGGGGTGGAACAAGCAACAAAGCATCACACCATTAGAAATCTGTCGTAGTAGTCACAGCTTTTCCTCGGATTAGAACTCGATTTCTGCCCCCATCCACTTGTAGATCAAGTATTCACTCCTTGGAGAGGTTCGATCAGCCGACGTCGATCAGCTTTTCCTGAATAGCTCTTTCCAGAAGTGGAGACGGACAGGATATTAGTGATTTCAGCCACAAATTTATAGGGGGTGGAGCAAGCAACAAAGCATCACACCATTAGACATCTGTCATAGTAGTCACAGCTTTTCCTCGGATTAGAACTCGATTTCTGCCCCCATCCACTTGTAGATCAAGTATTCCACTCCTTGGAGAGGTCTGCCTCAAAAAACAAATCTTAAAGATTTAATCTAGTTGTTGCCCCCAAAACTAAGTCAAAAAACCCTCTCTATTTTTTATTTTTATTATTTTTATTTTTAAGTGCGATGAGTGGAAGAAGCATGCCCCTGTATATTAACGATTGAACAAAATAAATTTTGGGTCGGATTTGGTTTAGAAATCATGAACCATTTAGGTTTTGGGCTGATTTTGGGTTGCCCCACCAACCCAAAATTGATCTGAATTCAACCCCCTAATCAAAAATCGACCCGAATAGTTATTCCACATTTGTTAAACGAGTTATCATGGTCGGTTGGTCACGTTCAGGTTGGACATTCTGACCCGCTTAATATGCAGGCACAGTTTGGGTCAAACAATTTCGAGTCGGATCAATCTCGGGTTAAACCCGAACTAGACTCGTAAACACAATTTAACTCCCCTATAAACAATATAACTTTAATTATCTTATATAATATAAGATACCCCCCACTCTCTATATATAAAAACTATTCTAGAATTAGCATCTCTTTTCATCTCGCAGAAAAAGACATTTAAAAATTATCGTTGACAACGATAATTTAAAATAATTTTATTGAATTATATGCATATATGTCATGTCACCTATGCATGAAAAGTTGTATTCCACTTTTTAAAAGTAAATTTATAGTGGTATATTTTTTGTGATTTGAAAGACTTGGGTGCATGTATAAATGTAGAAAAGCAAAGTTTGCGTGTTAGATATTTAAATATATAAAAAGTTGGGTGGTATGTTATGCCGTGTTTGTTGGATATATAGGATAAACTTACAAGATTGTGTCAATATGAGTATTGTTTTGATGCATACTATTTTTAATCATTGTTCTACTTACTCTCTTAAGGTGAAATAATGCAATTTTTTCACCCATATCATTCATTGTAATCAATTCTCTAATTGATGTTATAATTTTAAATGCTTAATCTACTTCTGCCAAAAAATGATAGTTTTGTTATTTGAAGGGAAGAAATGCAGAAGATCGAAGTGAAGCCATGATGGAAGAAAGGGACAAAGATTACATTTAAAAACATAATAGAATAGAATATTATAAAATATTACTTACTACTAATGCTTCAATACAAAAAAAAAAAAAAAAAAAACTATCCTTACAAGCAAACAAAAATCTAATATAATTTTTTAAGTTAATGGTTGCTCATAATCTAATGCATTATTTAACTTGAAACTTCAAACTAATGAAATTAAGCTAATATAGCTTCAGTTATTCTGTTATCATATCAAAATCAAGTTTCTTCTGAATCTTATATCTCGTTCAACAAACTTTTCTAACATGACAACCGGTCACTCAGTCTTCGAGAACTACAAGTTATAAGGCACAAAGTAATTGTAGTTCCCATGCAAAAACCGTCAGCATCCAAAATAGTACTTTTTTTTTGTTTAATCAACATAATGTTTTTGCATTAACAACTACAACAAATTTTTCTTAAATAAGCGAGTAGTTGCAACACCCCTTTGTTTGGGAGTAGGAAGAAGAATGATTGCTCTGTTGTTAAATTGACACATTTTATGATGAACATGTGAAAACATTCAACACTACTAGCATCAACTTATAATATTGTTTCTTTCTCAATGTCAAAAAATTATTTTAGTTTAGTGAACAAAATAAATACTTTGAGATTGCATATAACATAGTCCAAAATGTCATGAGGTAAATGGTATAATAAGATTTGTGTTGCACACAAAAATATGAAAATTTTATGTGGCATACCGATAAATTATATGCTTTTCAAGCTGAATGTTTGCTTCATAAATTTTCTATCTTCTGTGATATGTACGTTTTTTTTTTCAAAAGTAAATGAATATATAAAAAAATTATTTTTAATCATGGTTGTACTTACTCTCTTAAGGTAAAATAATGCAACTTTTGCACCCATATCCTTCATTGTAATCAATTCTCTAACTGATGTTATAATTTTAAAAGCTTAATCTACTTCTGCCAAAAAATGATAGTTTTGTTATTTGAAGGGAAGAAATGCAGAAGATCGAAGTGAAGCCATGATGGAAGAAAGGGACTAAGATTACATTTAAAAACATAATAGAATAGAATATTATAAAATATTACTAATGCTTCAATACAAAAAAAAAAAAAAAAAAAAAACTCTTAAATAATTTTTTAAGTTAATGGTTGCTCATAATCTAACGCACTATTTAACTTGAAACTTCAAACTAATGAAATTAAGCTAATATAGCTTCAGTTATTCTGTTATCATAGCAAAATCAAGTTTCTTCTTAATCTTATATCTCGTTCAACAAGCTTTTCTAACATGACAATCAGTCACTCAGTCTACGAGAACTACAAGTTATAATGCACAAAGTAATTGCAGTTCCCATGCAAAAGCCGTCAGCATCGAAAATAGTATTTTTTTTGTTTAATCAACATAATGTTTTTGCATTAATAACTACAACATATTTTTCTTAAATAAGCGAGTAGTTGCAACACCCCTTTGAATGATTATTTTGTTGTTAAATTGACACATTTTATGATGAACATGTGAAAACATCCAACACTACTAGCATCAACTTATAATATTGTTTCTTTCTCAATGTCAAAAAATTATTTTAGTTTAGTGAACAAAATCAATACTTTGAGATTGCATATAACAAGTTCAAAATGTCATGAGGTAAATGATATAGTAAGATTTATGTGTTGCACACAAAAATATGAAAATTTTATGTGGTATACCGATAAAATATATGCTTTTCAAGCTGAATGTTTGCTTCATAATTTTCCATCTTATGTGACATGTACATTTTTTTTTTCAAAAGTAAATGAATATATAAAAAAAGTACATTTTATTCCATAAGAAAAAGGTTATGGATAAGTGATTTTATTATTATTATTTCTAATTTCTACAAGGCCTAAGACCTTTTTTTTTAAAAAAAATCAATATGACTTCTATTGAAAGCAATGATCAAATTTAAAGACTAAAAGATACCAAAAATATCATTTTTTAAAGAATTAGAAAATTTTTATATTTTTTGGGGATGGGTGACTTTTCAAATCAAGCAAGGGTTTTATATAAGTCGCATTAACGTATTTGCTGAGTGCTTCTTTTTTTTAATTAAAAGATTTTGATTTCAAAGCCTTTCACGATTAAATTTGCTCAAATGTCTAAAAGAATGTAACGACTCTCAATATATAGTGATACTTTCAATAAACCTTTCCAAAAATCGATTTATTTGTTATAATATAATAATTAATTTTTTTGACTATATGTTTAATGTTTATTATAATCTATTTAATAAAAATAAGAGAGGTTGTTTAATTATTTTATAACATAATTGCTTTAATGTAAATATTTTAATAAGCTCATTTGATTGTTTCCATATATGGAAAGTAGAGGGGTTTATCAAAAGCATAAAATTGATAAATAATTTAAATGATTTATTGAGGGGTATATTCGGTAGTTTCCTCCCGCGCTTCTGCTCCATTCTCCGGGCAGTGGTGCGAAAAGCTGATGGTTGGAGCTTGGCGAACGATCAGATCATTCGCACGAGATGCTCTTCTGAAACCCAGACAATAAACCCTAGGCGGGAGGAAGTTTTCCAACCTGCCGATGTAAGCGCTCGTATTTCTCTTCCCTTTTCTTCATCCGATCGAATGCGATGCTCTGATGTTGCTAACAATGCCATTTATTCCATTCCTCCCCCCCTCTTGTTTTAGCTTAATACTATCTTTCTAGATCTGTTTCGATTGTCATCTTGCAATGCGCTGATGCTTTTGGTGTATTGTTCATTGATCGTGGCTTTGACGCCGATGAATCTAATGCTAAGGCTCTCTTATTAATGGTTTTTTGGATCTATAAACTTTTTTTTTAGGATTAAATGTTTTTTTTCCTTCTTTCGAGATTTGATATTCATTTCTGAGCTTCGTGACCCGTAGTTCTCAGTCGAGCTTTAGCAAGGTTGATTCAGTTTTGGCGATTCAATATATGTTTAAGTGACTTTCTGTTACGATCATTATGCCCAATAGCAGATTATGAATTCTTTGACGATGTGTATTCGGTCTGAGGTTGCTGTTTTATTTAAAAAGGAATGCGATAGTTTAATTTCTTCATATTTTCTTCGTACTTATATATTGTGGATGCCAAATGATCATGTCCATGACGTGTCTGTGCTGTTATCCTTAATGAAATTCCTTTGAACGTGAAAATTACATTTAGAAACATTGTTATGAGGAATTTATTTGTAAGATACAGAAATCATTTTTGAATGCGAAGACATGCTTGCACATTTATGACATTTATTCATTGATTTTTTTTTTTGTTTATTTTTTGTTTTGTGAAGGTAATTTTGTTGTTCATTTGTTTCTATCGATTGAAGTTGAAACTGTATTGCAAGGGTTACTGATTAACATGTTATATTATGAATCTGCTTTGCTAGATAAGAAAGAAAGTTGTTTATTAGTCATTTTTCTGGTTTCATTAGATTATTTGGCCAATGATTATTAAAAGTAGTTTCCCCCTTAATATTTGAAATGACTGATTTAACTACAAAATTATTGATTTAACTACTAGATTATTTCTATCCAGAGTTTGGATAGCTTAAAAAACACGTAGGAAGTTCGAGAGGTGTGCACATTTTTATGTTGGAATTTTTATTGATATACCATTAGAATCCAGTTAAACCACTAAATTTAAATTCAAAAGATAAAGAGAAATTAGGAAATGATTGGTATTCCTAGATCTATCCTACAATTATGAATTTCTTTTCGCAGGATTGCTATTGTCTATAACTCCTTAGTGATTCATACCAATGTCATACAAATGAATTATGTTGGATCTAGATCTTCCATGGTGATGTATCTTACTACAAGACTTACAAGGTTCCAACAGAGCAAAAAATAGAGAGAAAACAAAAGCCTAGAGAGACAAACTTTGAGTATTTTATTGCAAAATGAAATTCTTTCAATGACTTTCTATCCCCCAAAAATTGTTATTTGACCTATTATTTATAGGGGTTTTGATTGTTATATGATAAGACACAATTTGAACTCGTAAAGATAAATATATATATACGAGTCACTGATAAGGTAAATAAGGTTGCTAGCTTTCTAAGATGGATGCTAACCTTTTGATGAAATCATTAGTTTGGTACATGCATGGGCAAGTAGACTAGGCAAGTGGCTTAGCAAATTGCAACGAGTGCTCTCTTTTATTGGGCAAGTAACCCCTTGAATTGGGATGAGCGCATATTAACTATGGTTTATGGCAAGTGCATTTTTGTCAGGTGAATGCGTCATTGCTTTTAACAAGCGCATCTTAACTTTCGACAAATCTCGGTCTTTAGTGGATGTAGCTTGGTATTTTATGAGGGTACCTTGACATTTGGTTTGTGCACTCTATCCTTTGATGAGTGCATCTTGGGTGCCTTTAATGAGTATACATTATTCTTTGATGAATGAACATTGACTTTGATGAGTGCGCCTTAATATTTTATGAGTTGCTTTTGATGAATGAACTTATATCTTTCCTCGCCTCATGGTAGTTTTAATCAAAAGATATGAACTGCTCAAGTTTGCCATGCACTTTTATAGAAAAAATAGGTTGCAAAAAATAATATTCATGCACCATCATTTTATTTGATATATTAACCAAGTTAGGTCCAAACTCCAAATTGATTTGCAAGTTCTCAGGTGTTTTGGTGCCATAACAACATGTTATGCTCAACAACCATCATAAACCATTAGTTTTATATAGAGGTATAAGAAGTGAGATTACAATAATGGAACTAAAACTTATAAATTCATTCTTAGATGCATACAGACAACCTTTAAAACAAACAGATCAAGAAGCACATATTTGACCAAAACCTTTTCAAAATTATTTTGGCTCACGCCAAGCATCAAGAGACAAAGGAATATAGATGTTTATGTGTGTATTCTATTTACACCATTGATCATAACCTTAAAGAGTTCATTGTTTGAATATGTGAGTAAACAACTATGTAAAATATGACTGGAACTTGGTGCGAATTTAATATCCGTTTTGTTTTCATTTAGTGTGCATTCTGTTTTCATTTTGATCCACCACACTTAGTGAAAAACATCAAAGTGGAGGATCAATAATCCAATAGGATCCTAAAATGTTTTTAGAAGACTTCTTTCTCTTTCAGAGTATTTACTAAAAATGAAATATAAGTTGAAATGCTTTAATACTTTCCAGTAATCTCCAAAAAAGTTCAAATACTTCAAATACACTTATAAAAAAGTTCAAATACACTTATAATAAAAAACACTAGTTAGGCTATTAAAATCAGGCTTCAAAATTCAATAACAAGATTTTGGGTATGCCAAAACTATAGATAACTAGAAAAATGACAAACTAAAATCTCCGTACTCCTTGTTCCAGGGATGACAAAATTTTATGTTACATATTACATTACAATTAAAGTTAATTATAAGCACAAAATCCTGTATCATTACTCATGTAAATACACTGAAGCTTTCATAGACTTTGAAATGACAAGAAAAAAGAAGATGGAACGAAATTTTCGAAGGAACAAGAGCACCAAATTAAACTTCTTTTGTGTATATAAAACTCCCATCTTCTAGAAAATTAGTAGTGAAATTTTACATCAATCTCATTACAAAATACCAAAAAAGTATAATGCTAACAATATCATCTAGTTTCAAAATACACTAAGCAAGAGGCAAAGATTTGTGATGTTGCCTAATCTAAGAAATTGAATCAAGAAGGATGAAATCTCCACTAGAAGATGCCGTAAACTTTTAAAGGGCGTTTTGTAAAGGAAAAGTTTGAGCTAATTATTGTTGTGTTGCTAACTCCAAAGAGAAATAAACACTCCAACATTAAGCAAAAGCATCACACTCAATATTCACATTACACGACAAAACAGAATCTATAAAATCTAGAATGCATGTGGATATAAATTGAAACCGAGCAATCATAGCCAACAATAACACTCGACCACACACTTCACAAAAACCAAAAATTACATACATACATACATATTTTTAATAACACCCACAAATAATTTTTTGGTGTTTTGAATATTTTTATAAAAATTATCACCTCCACTAGGTGTTGCTCACCACTGACTGTCTTTGACTTCTTTTGTCATCACCAGAAGCCATCAGTTGTTTTATCTACCATTGCCCAAAAAAAAAAAAAATCCCAATTAGCTCTTAAAGCATAACAAAATAAAATTCATTCATCCATACTCTCTACATTTATCATTCTTTCTAAGCTTTGTTTTGAAAAAAACATGAATATGTTGATCAATGAAATTGAGTTAAGTACATTGTACTAAGTTAAATTTTAAGTTTTCCCAAACTAAAATTTATGTTTCATATAAATCTTAAATTACTTAAGATGAATCTTCTTAATGTGATGATATAATTAAATGGTCTTTCATGACTGAAAATTTCTTATAATTTGATAATTTGCGATTTGAAATTCAGTTAAATGAGATAATGTTTGAATAATTAAATATTTTAGTGAAAGATTATGATCAACATATGATCAACATTGATTGAGAAACTGATTGAGAAACCATTGAAAATTTTGCATTCTTAGTTATGTAAGTAAAAGCTTTATAGTAAGTTGTGTTTGTAGCATTGTTGGAGATAAAACTTGATTTTTCTAGGCCAAAATAATGTCGAGGAAGAGTTTTGTGACAATTTAACATGCATAACCTTCATCAAAAGTAGCACGAGAAAGCTAGGTAAAGCCAATCAAAGGTATATAGCTTCCCAAGAAATTGATGCACTAGACATGTAATTCTTGAGATATAATGTTGAACTCTTTCAAGAGATAAAATCATATAGTTTACCTTAGCATTGATTGATTGCATAGGTTTTTATTTCAAACTTATATTTTCAGTATATGAAAATAATTTAAGATTAAAAAAAATGAAAATTGAAATGTCAAAACAAAAATTCAATTACTTGATATTGACAAAGTTAAGTAATTAAACACATGCTATTTAACATTGATGGTTGAGATTGTTTGATCAATTTTCTTTGTGTTGAAGAATGAGAAAAGAAGGTGGTTGTCGTTGCTAACTATACTATTACTACTGTTTTGAATGTTGACAAATATTACTTCATAACTCAGAAGTATTAAATAGCAAATAATCTAAGATAAAGTGATACTTTTGCCTAATAACTCTAGGATTTAGTTGGCAATAGAGTGAGATATAAATAGCAAATAATTTTTATAGTTAACGATGAGCAATTAAAATGGAAAAATACCTCATAAGTATTACACTAAAACAATGTCATGGAGATTTAAATTAAAATTTATAAATTGCAATTATGTTATTTGGATTATTTGAATCATAGTGTTGGCTAGTAAAAATGTTGTTGATAGACTAGTTGAGATTGAGAGAACAAAAAAGGAAAGTCAAAATATTTGTGTGACAAAATTATAAAGGAAAAATTGAGGAATGATTATATTACAGGTTGTGGAAGTAGCATCAATTGAAGCTAAGGTATTGAAAAATAGACTTTCGATGGTTTGAACATGTATGATGTATAGTAGAAAATTCACCTATTAGTTAAATAAACTTAGTGTTGAAAGATAAGGGAAAAGGGTTCAAAGATAAGGGAAAAGGTTTAAAACCACGATAATGTGGATTGTCCAAAAGGTTATGTGGATTCAAAAAATCAACTTCAATTAGTTAGAATAAAGGTAGTTATTATGATTTTTGGTGTAGTGGCAACCTTCTTTTAAAATTTTTATTTTTGTTTTGTATTCTTCAAAATGTTTTTCTCTTAATGCATCCTAAATTTATATGCATTATTTTTTAACCAAATAATGTCAGTCTTAAGTTTTGTAAATTAAGTCGTTTTATTTTATCGTAGAATTAGATCAAGATAGACAAAATTTCCTGTGCAACTTATGTGTGAGAGTAGCATCAAGCCTCTTGTTAGTTCCAAATTTCAAAGTTCTTAATATTGATGAGATATTTATTGTAAATTTAATGCAACCTGTATACTTGATGCCAATGAACTCTATCATGAGCTTTCCATTTGTCATGTGAAAAATGGGGAAACATGCATAGTTAGTGCAGCTAGTTGCTTGATTGCAAGATATTGAATATGGTAGACCATAGATGAATAAGATTGTGCCATATGGTGTTTGCTGAAAATATTTTAATGAAAGACTGCATAAGTTATATTATTCAAAAACTTATTGTGCTTTCATAACTAATTGATCTTAGTATTATTTTCCTTGATTTTCTTGCAATGCCAAGTTATGCAACTAGTAGTGTCATGGGAAAACTAATTTTCAATAAACTATTGATTTGTTTGCTTTATATGTTTTTAGCATTTACTGAACTTGTAATACAAAAATATCATTTTTAGTTTCATATTTTAGCTTTTTATGTGGCTGTATGAATTTGCTTATTGATATTTGCCAAGAACCATGCAACTATGTTTATTTTTTCAATTAAATTCTCTCTAAAATTTTCATTTATCGACTATTATCATACATGAGATTGATTTTATACTAAAGAAATCCTTGATGGAAGACATTGTCAACTATGAAGCTTGTATGCATGTAAACATGTGAGAAGATAAGGGGCTATTAGATATAAAAGAAACTGGCATGAAATTTATGCTATTATTATAATAGTTTTTCTCTATGTAAATTTGCGCTAGCTTTCAGTTATAATGCTAATATTTTTCTTCATGATATTGTTCTTCCCAATCCAGCCACTACGTGCAACTACATTTGGTGAAATGATCGATAGGAGTGCATCACCTCTAGTTAAATATAATCCTGGTGTACAGACAACAAATTCTTCGTTGGATGCTGAAAACTCTAATTGGAATTACTTGAAGAGAACATCCTTTTTTGAAACCGGCGCTTCAACTTTGAATCATTTGATGCCAATAATTAATCATCTTGATATTGATGCATTGAGCAATTTATCAAACTCTCTGTGTCCTGCTGCAAAAATTGGAGGTGTGGAGTATTTCTTGCCTTCCGGGGTAATTTACGGTACCTATGTTCTACAATAATGTCACATGTAATGCCTGAAGTCTATGCGTCTGAAGCTTTTTTAAAATATAGATTGGATATTCATTATCAAATACTCAAGGAGAACAAACCAATTTTGCAAATAAGGTTGAATCTGAAGAACCTGCATAAGTATGTGAAGTATGTTCATATTTACAGCTCTATTTTTTAATTATTGTTTTGCTATGTGCACAAGTAACATCGATCGTAAGTTGATTCCCATCTATATCATAAGTATATTTCATTTTGATTCTTTGTGAAATATGTTATGTTTGTTCCATTTCATTTTTGAGAATTGGCTTTCCTTTGGTATCTTGATCAAGCTACAGTCAAAATATTGCTCTAATGTCGCGCAACAATCCGAAGCAAACATGGCAACAAAAATTGCTAGAGCTCCAAAAGTGCTTAGTAGTCGGGTAAGAAAATTTTTCTTATTCTTTGGGAGTTTGTTACAATTTTATTATTTTCTCATATAAAATTGTTCATTTTCTCCGCAACAATAATGCATATAGCCTTGTACCGTAGCTATTATTGGAGCAGTATAAGCTAACCTTTGTCTCATTTCTCTCCTAAGTTGCTTTGTAAATTTGCTAGAAGTTTACTTATGGCAGATATATAGAGCTAAAGTAGCTGAAGCAATTAAAGCATTGAAAAATGCACTACCATACGCTGAAACGGTATGTTTACTCTGTTCTGTAGTTTCAATTAATATATATAAATAAATGTTGAATGTTTTGTAGTTCACAATTAATTTCTTTGTAAATATAAAAAAAAATTTGATAAGCTGATCAAACTCAAATATGACTGGGGTCTGCTATCTAGCCCCAAATTTTCTCAGTTAAAAAATTTTTAAAAAAATCTTATTAGGTTGTACTCAATAGAATTTTGTTATAAACTAGAGGAACAAGTGTCTAAAAATTGTTTCATTTGATTATCTGTGTCATGCAAACTACTGAAATTTATGCAATTTAAATGACTTGAAAGACTTGTTTCTCAAAATTATTTCTTTCATTGTTGACTTTTTTCCTTTCTATATTTACTGTACTGTTTATGCATTCTAATTTTTTTTCTGTTTGTTTCTTCTTATTTTTAGGGTAATCAGGCATCTATTCTTGATAATGTCATCGATTATATTAAGTTTCTGAAACTTCGGCTAAATGTAAGTGACAACTTATGCTCTTGTAATTGAAAGCAATCTTACATTAATCATATTTCAATTTTGATATATTTTATTGCTAAATAGTTTGTCGAAATGATTGTTGATACCAAAATTAAAACAAACGACAATAACTAAACCAATATTGTTACTGAAAAAGCCAATAGGCGATTACAAGCAACACGAAAATTGAAAAAAAAAATAATTGACACGACACACACAAACGCCCATTATGGGGTTGATCCAGTAATGGTGGTGGTTGGTTACGGCTGGGTAAGGTGGCGGCATGGTAGGGAATGTGGAGCAGCGGGTTGTACAGTAGGGAAGCAGTAGATATTTGTTGTCTGGGATGGCAACATGTGGATAGGTGGGTTGTACAACGGAGAAATAGCTATAAGAAGCGGTTTTGGGCAGCTAGAACAATAGCTAGGCGGCGGGGAGGGGGTTCTGAGTTGCTGGGAAAGAGGATATGTGGTAGGGAGGTGGTGCAAGAAGGTTGGGACATTGGCTAGATGGCAAGGAAGTGGTTTGAAATGGTTGGAAGACCAGCGAGTCGGTTGGAAAGGTGGATTACAAAAAACAGTCAAAGGAGGGTTATTTCCAGGTTGCTATAGCAAGTATGGTGAAAATGGTAATGAAGGGAAGGACGAGGAAGGAAATGTCGATGATAGTCACCATCTCAAAGCGAGATACAGCCGAAGCACTCGTCCTTGGATACAATCTTAGAAGGGAACACATGAGATGTTGAAGGCAGTCCCGACAGAAACACACACAATATTTACCTAGCACAGGAAGAAATAACATATATTATGCTAGGCTAACCAAGGAGTAGCCCTTGGTTTGCTTGAACAAGGCTGTCCCAGATTGCACATAGTGTGATCCCTTGTGAACAGTTGCCCACGTCAATTGTCATAAAACTTGTTCAAAAGCACTTGGTTATGCTTGTGTCTGAGAATGATAGTTTGTTTGTTATTTGGTATTTCATAATGGCTCTAAAGTGAGGCCCATATGCATGGGAGATGGGCCTACTACTAGAGCTCAATCCAAGAGAGCTTCCACAAATCCAAGAGGTCGAATTATAAGAAGCCAAGATGAAAGGAATGCTTGAAGGCTAAATAAAGGACATTTTCTTATTTGAAACTATTTTTTAAATAATATGTGTATTTTATATGATTGTGTCACATGTGTAAATTAATGTGTTGTATGGGTGGGTATCTATGGTTCTATTTGTGTTTATGTATTATAATTAATTGTAAGGAGTCGAAATGAGTTAATATAATTAATTAATTAATTAAGTATTTTAATTAATTGATTGATTTTAGGCTTAAGGGGCCTCCCATGTGAGTAGAAGGGAGTTGGAGTGGTGGTTTCAAGATTAACTAGGTCAAAATCTAAGGTTCTAGTTGTTTCCTCGTCTTCTTAAATGCTTCATTTTAGTGGCGGTTTTATGTGTTTAAAAACCCTATTTTCTACTGTATGGAGGAGCTTTTATTTGTGATGAATTGAGGAAAGAAATTTATTTGCTATTGGTGGCTGACCAAGCCTAAGAGAGTTTGGTTATTCTCTTAGAACCCTACTTTAGTTAGTAGGTCTTCTATTTTGTCATTTAAATTTTATGATTTGAGTTTTTTTATGGGAATTTTTATGTGAAGTGTTCTTGGTATTTTATTTTACTCGATAAAATTAAAATCCATAAGTTTCTTACCCAATTTCCTATCTAAATCCCAAGTGCAAGGGTGGTCGTCCAACTAGGTTTCCCAAAACTAGTCCGATTAGGGCTTGCATTTGACAAACCTAACCTCTACCAAAAAAACAAAAAAAAAAAGAAAAACCAAAATCTATAGATAATTAGCTCCCGTAATTGTCTTCAATATCCTTGAGTTAGTAAATTCTTCAATATCTTCTTCAGTTTAAACTACCAAAACATATCAAAATTCTTCCAAATTTTACTTATTTAAAATGAAACTTCTCCAAATATAGCCTTACTCTCCTAAGCATTTTAGGGGACCCCCACATCTTATAATTGGTCACTTCAGTGATCTAACCCACCACCCACATCAGTTTGATTTGAAATGCTTATAAAAGTTAAATTAGAGAAGTAAATATTGTCACTTATTTCTAAAGAATTTACTCTAGAATACCTGAATGTTATTTAAACCTTGCTAGTATCAATGTAGAGAGGAAGATGACGACATTACTGATTAAGAGACACTTTTCATCTTTGCATCAAATAGTTTGGTTTGCTTGTTATCATAAATTTATTGACATTATAATGCGTGTCTCTTTAAGAACGTTTATTTTATGAGGACTACTTCAAAATTAAAAGAATTTAATGTCCTAGAAAACTCAAGCATGCGTTACTGAATCTCATTAGAATGCATTCCCTAGAAATATATCTACAGTCTCCACTTTTTATTTTTGATAACTTGTTTTCCTGGTAATTATTTTTTGTCTCTCTACAAGTATGTCTAACACTAATCAATGATCCTTCTTATAACTTCAATGAAATTAACATACCTTTAACACCGTTTTCTTAATGAATATTAATTCAATTTATATGGTACTCAATTATATACCTGTCAACAATATATGAGGATCCTCTCTCTATTTTATTTATTTTCATTAATTGACTTGAAAAAGAAAAGTTAACTCTAGATTTAATCTTTAAAGTATGAAATAAAATTGTTACTTCTAATTGGACATAAATATTCAAAGTTGATATACAATTACTTTATCCTGTAGTTACATTGTATGGATTATTAATTTGATTCCTCTATAATTTGCCTCATGTAGAACTTTTCTTGTCCTAATTATTGATATCAAATGCTCTATCTTCGATTATTGGACATTCTCTTAATCTTTGAAATTTTATTGAATGGATTTCTTGACCAAACAGAACATTTTAGTACCCCTCATAAGGTATTACATATATTCCTAAAAAAGAAATATTCCAAATATCAAACTGGTTGCTATTCTAGTGAAGCATACATTAAATTCTAATGCAATATGCTTTTAACTTGGTTTTGTTATTTTATGGTATGCTGCTGTCTTTGTCAGTGGAGGTTAGTTACCAGTTATATTCAGTAAGCATGGTAGGAAAAACAAGTGATGATTGGCTTCTAATAGTCTTTCATAAGCATGTTACACACCGTTCTTCCAATATTTTTTATTTTATTTTATTTTTGCAAATAATTTGTTTTTCACTGTATGATGTTGAGTGTTACCTACCTGAACGTTTGGGTTCTAATCATATCTGACTTGTTTAATGAACGAGCTTGTGTTTCATGTTGTAATATGGTTGATTTGCTTAGAGAACAAGCTGAGCTCAATCCAATTATCAAGCGAAAAGTAAGCTATTAGCATATAACAAATATATCTATAATCTTAATCTACATAGTAAATTTAATCGAGCTGTTTCTCTTAACTAATTAAATATAGCCAGAAATTTGTATTTTATATTAAAATTCATGTACCTTTTTTTGTTATTTCTTATCCTATTTGTACACGTTTTCAACCAAGAACATAGAAAAGGATGTTTTTTAATTAGGTGGAAGAGAAATAACTATTTCAAGCATCATTTAGCTTTCATCTGAATTGTTTTCCCTTTGTTGTTATTGTTCCTTTGCTTCAATTCTAATTCAGGGCAAATGGCAGGTATTGAGCCAAACCAGATTGACCGGTGAACCCTCAGCTCATTCCTTCGTTTATATTGAGGTGCTTTATTTCTTAGTTCCCATTTATAATTATTAGTATTTGTATAACATACTTTTATGACTTTGTTCTGCTATTTTACTATTAAATATTATATCAAAATCACTTTACATTTATCAGCTAGTACTTTTTCTTTGTACAATATGCTTTTTTGGCTTTGTTTTGCTGCCTTACTAAAGTATTGTATTACTCTTAACATTTATGAAGACATTATATCACTGAAAATTCTTTAGCCAGCGCTTTATTTATTTCCTACCTAAAGAATAATTCGGCCTTTTTGTTTATGAATCATTCTGCTCGACATATGGAACATTTTTGTTGTATCTATAGCATGCTCTTGTATGAAGCTATATTCCATTTATTCTTGAACATGAGATCATGCCATAACCTAATTATTATGATTTTGTTATCCCTATGGGGCATTCATTGCGGATAGAAAGCATGTTTTGAATCATGATAATTTTGTTTTAATCTCTTCTGGTATTAACATAAAATAATTCTATTTTTTGGAGGCTGAGTGGAGCTTTCTAGAGTGCAAAATACAAGATTGATCTCTAACTCCATTCAACCAAATGATGGATTTAAGCAGATTTTATTTGTTTTTAGGCATATTTTTTAACTTGTAGCAACTTAATAAGCCCAAAGTGACATTACAAGCATTAATTGCTTATTTTTTTTACTGGTCTTCAAAATCATCACCATGTAGACTTGGTGTCATTGAAGGATTATGCACAAACTCTTTTGATTAATTGTATTGTATAATCTTCGTCAGTGAAACATCTAATCTCATAAAAAAATGGTTGTATTTTATTATATATTTTTTAATATTTTCTACAGATGTGAGAATTTTTAAGAATGAAGAGTCTTTTTATGTAGGGCTTCGGTCACTACTTACTCCATCCTCAGACATACCATCAGGCACTTGAGGAAATGGTTGGGAATCTTCTGAAGTCAAACCCACAGGTGGCCAATGAGCTGCTTGAATACAAGGGCCTAGCCATTGCGCCTATGGATTTTGCATACATTGTTCCTCAAAATAGCTTGAACCCATGCTCCAGTTTATGGTAGTAATGATCAATTTTTACTTGACAATAATATTTTCGTAAATGACATTTCTTAGCCATATATTAATATACCTTACTTTTAGACTACAACATCACCTGAAACACACTTTTTGTGTTGCCGTAGCATTCCTCCGGAACTGTATTGTTTTGACGAGAAATTTTTCAAAGTGCAACCTTGCCCTTCCTTCTTATCTGTGCAATCATGCTTTCATGCACTGGCTTCACTAAACTTTGATTTTACACTCATACCACTTTATCCATACTTCAAAATTGTATTTCATTTAAATACATTTTGCATAACTTAGTAATAGCGGTATATGATGTGATATAAATCATTTGATGTTATAAATGTAAAAAATAAAAGTTTAGGTGTTAGATATGTAAATATACCGAAATTGTGCGGTATGCATGTATCGAGGAGAAAAAAAAGATGAAGCAAACTATAAAGCATGAAACAAGTGTTGAGAAGTATTAGTTTGAACTTTCGTATATCAATATTTTATTAGAAGATTTACATGAATACCACACTTCTTATTTATTTACAATCCGCAAGTCGAATAGCAGTAACAAAAATCAACTAATCATATAACTTCAAAAAATGAATTAGCATGTCCTATACAGAAAAGATTTTTTAGGATGTTATTTCATTAAGGTCGAAAGGTTGTTCGTTCACATGCTTTACATTTACCAACAACTTTATTCTAGACAAATAAATGAATCACACAAAGGAATTAAAATGTATTTAACTAGGGTAATATTTGAAATTGAAATTTAAATTTTTAATATTATTTTTTGTTTCTTTATTTTTATAAAATGGATTGATGGTTTGGATTTTAATTTGACTATAGATAAAGAAAATTTTTTTGTGAGGTGAATTAAGTTCTATTTAGATCTAAATTGTATAAAAAAAAATAAAGACATTAGAAAAGTTATTGAAAATATATTTATAATCCAAAAATCACTCAAAGTAAAATCAGCATTGAACTAAAGCAACAAAATTTTATTACTTATATTGTTTTAAAAAGCTTAGAACATTCATTTTATACAATAGAGTTGTTGTATATAAGAAAAAAAGCATGATGTCACTGGATAAGCTGCTATATAAGTTATATCTATAAAGCATATTCCAAATCTAGAAAAACATTCTCAACCCAGTTCCACTCATTTGAGTTGCTCCACAAAGTGGAGTTGAAATACAGCATATCACTTGATGGATCATCAGTATTAAAGATCAACAAGATGATGGATGGATTCATCAAATGGATTGACTTGTTCAAGATAGTGAAAATGTTGTACAAATGTAGGAGGTTGCTCAAAATGATGTAGAATACCATGCTACAAAGACACATTGGAACCAACATGATGAGGAAGTATGCCTTGAGCAGATAGATAATATTGATCGATTGGTGGAATAGATTGAGCAAACAGAGAATGTTGTATAAGTGGGTGGTGAATATATTGCTGGAAACACATACTGAAACCAGCAAAAGGAGGAATAGGCTGGTCGTGAGGAGGAAAAGTTGGTGCGGGTGGAGAAGTTTGCTCCAGATTGATCATAAGGAGATCATCCCGCTGTAAAAATATATTGAAAAAAAAAAATCACGAGGAAGAGAGTGGGCGAATTGTGAAGATTGATAAAAGAAAGAGGACCGTGCTGCAAAGGCTCCTCTACGCGCCCGGAAGTTGAGGTGCCAAATTCTCATTATGGGAATCAGGTTAGAGGAAGTGCAGCCTCTCTCTGATCTCTTTCTGTTTGATTTCCATGGCCACCATCTCTTCATGGAACAGCGTCGTGGAAAAGGAAGAAGAAGACATCGGAAGGCAGGGGATTTGCTCTACGCTGTTGCCGCTTCCTTCATCGCTCTTCTTGTGCAGGCAGAGGCAGCGTTCTCTGATCCGGCGAAATCCCGGCGTGTCCTTCTCCGACCAGAATTCTACGGTGTTGAATTCCGGGGAACGTGAAGCAACGAGAACATCAACGCCGCAAAGGAAGAAGATTTCTTCCGCCTTCTTCTTCAAGCCTCTCCATCTCGTCATGTAAGTTGAGCGGCGATCGCGAACGTGCTCTCGATACTTAATCTGAAGCTTCGCACGACCCATGGCTCCAACAGTCCGTCGCTCGCGCTTTCTTTCGATAACGAAGCGGAGCAGAGGAAGAAAGCGGGAAGATGAAGTTAGCGAGAAACAGAACCTTTATTCCTTTTTAACGAAATAAAATACGACCGTTGGGCTTCTGGATCATTCGAGTTATGCAAGATGGCTTAACTGCTTAAGGGATTCTGGATAAACATTCCATTATTTCAAAAAATGAAATTCCAAAAGAAGTAATATACAATAAATTAAAGGGCGGTTTTTTACATATAGGGGGACTTCAAACCATATTTACTACATATAAAGGTCTTCAAGTATTTAATTTACTCCTCCAATCTCCCCTGGCCTCCCCCTCTGCCTCATTCACTGCCTCAACGAAGCTTTATCCAGCCACACCATCTCATCTCGTCATTCCAGACCACCAACCTAACTTCAGCTAGTCATCACTCGCAAAGACGAGGTTGTCATAGAGGGCTTCCTCCACACACAGGGAAGAAGCCGAAGGAACCAGATGGGGCCGAAAAAGGGAAGATTATCAAGGAACCATATGAGGGCTTGCAAAGCTCATTTGCTGCCCGCTGTCGGATATGTGTCCTTTAAGGGTCCATTTGGGGCAGCTTGTGTATTTCGGGATAAGTTGTTTATCCTGAAACGCGGCCCGCGGGGCCGCAGGAGTCGACCCGTGGTCTGCATTTAGTGTAAAAACTCAAACGCAGTTTCAGATAAGCTGGCAAAACACGCGAACCAAACGGTACGACGCCGCCCGCACTTATAAGATGCCCCAAATGGACCCTATATCAGCTCAATCGACAAATTAAAGGCCTAGTCAGGCTGGGTTGGGGCTGAGGCTGAGGCCGAGGCTAAGGCGGAGGCGGGATCCATAACAGAATTCTTCAGAAGTAACTTAAATATTTGAAAACCTCTATATGTAGTAAACATGTTTTGGAGACCTCCACATGTAAAAAGCCCTAAATTAAATATATATAAAAACTTTCATTTAATATAAAATGTAATTAAAATATTTAAAGTGTCTCTACGCATCAAAGCTACATATGTGGTATGCTATGAATTTTGCAACTCAACTAAATTTATTTAAAGAAAAAAATGAACAGAATATAAATATAAATTAAACATAGCACATAACAAAATAAATATATATATATAGAATATAACACATAGAAAATCTAAATTGAATCAGTTAATTCTTAATTCTTTAAAATCTAAGGCATAAAATTCATTTTTAAAATAATTTCTAAATAAGATTTAAGTTCTACATAAGCTTCATTCCTTGAATAACATTCAAATCAACTTCAAACAAGCATTTCAAAACCTTGTTAAACCTTTCACAAATCAACCTTTAACCTATTTCAAATTTCAGATAAATAACACTTAAACTTCACCAAATACAATCTAAACCTACATAAGACAAAACATAAAATGAATTCTCAAACAACCTTCAAACACACATAAAACAATCATCAATTAATCAAAATCTTACACAAATACATTGCTCAAACTAATCATTAAACCTTAATCAAATCCAACCTACATGCTATAACAATCCTATGCCAATAAAATTTTAAAATCTTGTATAAATTTTACATAAGATCAGCCACCAAACAATCTTTGAGTTTTATAAACTTGCCGCCCACATCTAGCCATTAAACCTTGCCTAAATCCCTTGCTAAATAGATGTGAGGGGATGGTGTATTTATAGGTTAGACCATGGTGGTCAATTTGCCAGGATAAGAGGTGGAAAGTGATGTTGAGGTGGTGTTGAGGTGGAGGCAAGGGTCCAATGGGGGTGAGCCACATTGAGTGGGCTCAATTTTGGGTTATATCTCATGGGTGGTTCTCGGGTTTGGGCTTGTCGCCGACCAAGGTGGGGTGGTGGAGCTGGGGTGGTCACTATCTTGCTAAGGGAGCTCAGTGGTGGAGAATTGTGAAGTTGATTGGATGGTGTCATGTGTACATGGGTTTGATTTAAGTGGAATGGGGAGAAGGTGTTGTTGGGTCAACCATGGGTTTGAGTCATGCAAATGGGCTTGGCTCACCCCCATGGTGGCTAGGTCTGATGTGCATCATGTGGGTTTGGATGGTCAAGTCCAAATCATAGGGATTAGGGTTTCATCATGGGTTTGGGGGAATAATGAAAAGGGTTAAGCACCTTGAGTGGAATCATTAAAGGGCTTCCTCCTTTAACCATAAATAGTATGATGGCTCACATGAGGCTTATGCATGGCTTCATAGCTTCCATTTGGCTTGGATGAAGCCATATGGCTTGCCTATGGCTCCTGCATGGCGACTTGGCTTGCATTAAGGAAGGTGGGTGAGGATTCCAAGCACTGAAAGGATTTTCATGAATTCCACTTTTGGTTGATCAATCATGAAATTTTTGGACTTTAGGCTTGATTAAATTGATCATGGGGGCTAAATTTTTGTCATCTAGGCTTGGGTTATGGAAGATTTGGACATTAGGCTTGATTTATGGGCTTTTGAAATTAAATATGAAAGGGTTGGTTTTGGACTTGGATTATGGGGTTGGATTTGGTTTAATAATCAATTATGATAATTTTCGTAAAGTCATGAATGCACATGATGAAATTTTGGACTTAGGCTTGGTGAATTTTAGGTTTGGCATGAGGTTTCCATTTTGGTGGATTTTGGACTTGGGGTGAAATGTGATATGGGGTTGATGTAACTTTGGATTGAGGGTTTATGGAAATTGGATTTGAATTTAAATTGAGGAATTTTGGAAGTTGGGAATTTTGGGAATTTAAGATAATGTTGGGGTAATTGGGATAGAAATTGGGTATTTTGAGAATTATGGGTGTTTCTTGGGGAATGATGCATGGTGGTGTATGGGATGTGAGGGTGGGTATGGTAAGTGAGGAGTGTGAGTGTGGTGTATGTGAAGTGGTGATGGTAAGGGGTATGGTGAATGGTGCATGAAGAAGATGAACAAGGCATCCTTAGAGTTTGATAATCTTTTAGGAACTCATTTTTTGAGCTTCAACATATTGGTCCTAGTCATCTCAACCAAGAGTTGAGGATTTGAGACCACTCATATGAGACTTTTGATCCCAATATTTTTTTATATATAAGGATTTATGAAGCTGACACCA